AGGAGAAAAGTAGGATTATAGCTTCTCTGAAATAGCCTAACCTACCTTTGACACCTGCACACAAAGAGCTTACTTCCCCACATTGCAAAATAGTGTGGATACTGAACACTAAATATACATGCACATGACCACTATTTTTAGAAAATCATGTTTTTATACTTAACAGCCTATTATAGTATCATCTAAAAACGCATAAACTTTGGAACAACTAGTAAAAGGGATTCTAGGCAGGGATGCAACGATTAACCGATAATATGATTACGATTAACCGATAATCGTAAAGGGTTTTCAACACCGCATTTCTGCATTGTACAAAACTGCTACAACTAAACTTATACCCACCCACACTGAATTAACCATGGATGAGGCTATTAACTAAGGGCCATTCATGTATTGGACATTTTACACACGAAAGATTGTTATTTTTCAATGGAGGTGCTCAACTTGTACACACATATTGGGATCGCATTGAGGGGCGCATGAGAAGACCACCAGTCACATGACAAGAACTGGACCGATCAGCTTAATATTTTGTATGAAATATACACGTTTCTGTTGTGGTCCAAATATGAAAATACCAAACATTTTTGTAATATAGTTGATCAAAAGTGCCTTTCAGACAGAGTGTAAGCAGTCTTTGACTGTATTTGTTCTCTTTGAAAGGAAAATACTTACATTTACATGATTAAATCCTAACAATAGATTTAAATTAGACAAATACTATTTTTTTATTCTTATTTTTCTTTTTAATTGTTCTGTCATTTATTTCAGCGTAAAATGTTTACATGTCAAAAAGTTGTTTTCATTTATTTTTAGATCCAAAGAAAAATGGACTGCTGTTTGTTTGTTATTATTTTGTGCTGTATTAATTGGTTAATGAGTAACAATAAATAACACTTTAAAATATAAGAGGTTTTAGGAGATTTTTTAAACTGTAGTGTTATGAAATGAAAGAATGCATAATAATCGTGATAACCATGAAACCGTTATTATTTCTCAGACTATAATCCTACAACCAAAATTTATAATCGTTGCATCCTTAATCCTAGGGATGAGTTGTACAGTATTACGCACAAAACCAGTAGAGGCTGAAGCTACATTTGGGGCACAGCCGAGTGTAATTCCAGGGAGGGGCAGCTGGGAATTCCACTGTGGCAACGGCCTGGCGGAGGGGCATTACGTTCAGCTGTACTCCAGCTGTGTCCATTTATACTGGTGACCGACAGGCGGTGAAGGGGCATTGCTGCCAGACTCGCCCACTCAATGGAACAGGCCAGAAACATCCACATCTCCACCAAAAGCACTTTCTCTTATTCTTTCTTTTTTCTCTCTCTTTAACTACTTATTTAAAATAAGCTGAAGCATCACAATTCTTAAGGTTTTTTTGGGGGGTGGACAACTGAATTTTTTTACGTGTAATCCACTTAAATGTGTAAAAACTACTAAATTAACTTAACTCCTTTATGATGTCCCAACATAAATCAATTATGACGAATCCAAGGCTGTTTTATCTGTATGTTTTTCTCACAACCGTGTTTCTCAGTAACCCCAGGGTAGCCATCTGATGATAAGAATCATCCTCTTTGGCCCTCAGGCCAAACGGTTTCTCGCTTTATCAGCGCTGCACACACCTGCACATCAGAATGTTTCTCTGAACAAGCAAGATTCTCAGCCTCAAAGTTGTGACTATGGTGTTCGTTGTTCAGGCCATGTGTTGTTTGTTTGTGTCTCCACACCCAAAAGCAAGGCCGAAAAGACAGCTGACAGACCTCCTGCTGCTGGGCTTCAGTGGCAGATGTTGCCTCACCGTAGATTCTGTCATGCAGTCATTGTTCTTGTAGCAGTTGCTCATATGTCATCATCATGTTTAGAAAGCATGCAATGTTTATTATTGATGCATTATTGAGTTTATTATAGAGTGGCTGTGGGGTTCGCATCCAAAGCATTGTTGTTTTTGCACTTCAACTGTAAGAACTGGGTTGAAGAAATTTCAATTTACTAGAACTTCATCTATGTAAGCTGCTTTGACACAATCTACATTGTAAAAGTGCTATAGAAATGAAGATTCTAAAGACTTGACATGTTTTTTGTATAGATTTATTAATTTATTTAAAATACAATTGAAACAATCTACTTATACACACATGAATACACCTCTTTAGTGATGAACATGCTTGTTCATTCTGAATCTGAATTAGTTAATTTTGAAGGAAATTAAATGCACAATGTTCTTGATTGATTTTTTTCGTTCACACTTTCCAATTCTCACTAATAACAAACCAACAACGATGGCTTTTGGCTCAATAAACTTCTAACTTGTTGCTTACTAATAGTTATTAAGGTAGGAGTTGGATTAAGGTAGGGATAGGCAGTATTTATGATACATGTATTTCAAATACTGTATGTATATTAAATACAACATAGTATTTTGTAATATGTATTTGATGGGGTTCATGAAAATGGGTTTATATTTTGTACCAAAATACTTTAGTGTCTGTTATTTTCGTATTTTTAAAATAATGTAAAATACTTAGTAAGAAGTCTACAAGATGGCCTCTGATTGGTGCTTTCTCTGTTATTTGACAAGGCTTGAGATCAGACTAGAATATTGATTTAATATTGAAGAAGTTGATCAATGATTGGACTATGGATGGAAATTCTGCATCACATATAAAGAAAATAACAGACAAATAGCAGGAGTACATTTGAAAGCAAACAACATAAAAACAACATAGAAAAGACAAACAACAAACAACATCAAAAGTCCTACAGCGGCGATACCTGTAATACTTCATTGACTGTTTCAAATGCCAGTAGATAATCTGCAGGTGCTCTTTATAGTTAATTGCAGTACTAACTTTGACATAGTTAATCAGTATAAGACAAACATAATAAATAATACAGTCTACTAACTTTTTTTGAGATATTGTTTTTTATTCTGTTTTAAAGAGTATAATTGCAAAAAGACATTATTTATGGAAACTGGAAATTTTAGTAGTTTTCAAAAATCGTGATTTTACATTGAGATTGAAAATTTCAATAACAAAAATGTTGGAAAATAAGACTTTTAAGAGAAGGTGGCAGTTTTCACAATCAAGATATATCAAGTATTATATTCATTATGTGCAATAAATGGTTATTACAATGATTAAAGAGATAATCTTCAAGACAGGACTTTCTGTATGAAATTTGTACAAAATCTATTCTAAAATTAAAGAGAAATAAGTTTTATGAACACCTCCTCATGTACAGCGGTGAATGAGTTGGCAGAGAAGCTGACTTAAACTCGCTCAGAGAAACGCTGTTGCTGTTAATCATTGTTTTTGTTTGACGATGAAAGGATTCATCGAATATGCTCATCGATATGAAGATGGCGAAGAAATTTCATGCTCCCTTGTAAAAGTATTTTGTAGTATTTTCAAAATATAAAATACAGTATTTTATTTTGATACATTTGTGGCTGCTGTATTTTGTAGTTTATTTTGATATGCTTAAAATTGAGGTAATTGGTATTTTATTTTAAAATACATTTCAATGTATTTTTTTGCCCATCCCTGTGTTTAGTTATTGGGTAGGATTAGGTGATATCAAATATGATCATGCAGAATATGTATAAATAAACAGTCAATATATTAATAATATCTAGATAATAAGCCACCATAGGTAATAATGAGACAATTGCTACTTAAACTACGGTGTTGTCATAATTTCCCATTTATTTATAATCTCTATCCTCTTATTTGATAAGTTTGGATCAAATGAATGTTTTTCTTCTCTGTGGTCACTGGAGCCCAGGCTTGCTTTCTATTGTCCTAAATATAGATCCAGCCCCACACATGTGCATGCAAGCTGCAAGCTGTGTTAATTTGCACAGTCTCTCTAATCCCACATAGGGAGTGATGCATTGTGGTCCACTGTCATGTCTGTGATGTGGTTGCCTGGAATGAGCCAATCTGATGATTACATGCACGTTATGAGATTTTTTGACTTGTGGTGTTGACTAGGCTTAGCAGAGTCTTTCAACTCTGACGTCTTGATTCAGAGTTTTAAATAAAGCAGAACTTGATTACTGGAATCAGGATTGAACAATTTCTGAAAATAATCTAATGCGGTTTTCAATTTCTCGTCATCTTCTGTGTTAAAAATGAATGTAAGACAAGTAATAAATCATCAAATAGTATGACCAACACAATAACAGCGTGTTGTGCAATTAATAACGAACAAACAATTAAAATAAATCAATCAACAGTCAACACAGGTGAGTGGGCTTGACAAACCACCTGTAGAAAACACACTTTTTCAAATATCTGGCACTTTAACGGATTCTTGTGCCAGTTTGATCCAGACACATTCTTACAATCACTTGATAAAATGCTCTGTGCATCTTTAAAGTGTGCTTCACACAGGTGAGTGGCCTTGACTAACCACTTGTAGAAACACTCTTTTCACTTTCAATAAAAAATAAAAAACTCCCCTCTTCATACTCTAGCACTTAATTTTCTAAGCACTAACAAAACTTTTTTTATAATTAGCATTTCTTGTGTGTATTGCCTCTCCTTGTTGAATCGCTGAATGTCTCCTAAATTGTAAGTTGCTTTGGAGAAAAGCCTCTGATATATGACTAAATGTAATTGTAATGTAGTCAATTACTCAATTAACAGATTCAGTTTAATCAGTTAAAAATTTCCAACAAATTGTCGCCTAAATATTTTTAATCAAACATTAATTAAACTTGCAAAGCTTTACAGACAGGAAATTGTGGGAAGCAGAGAAAGCGGAAACATTGGCAAAGGACCTCAAAAAGGGAATCGAGCTTAGGTTGCCGTGATCACCTTGGTGCTATGTGTTGGCACACTAACTACTAGGCTATTGGTGTTGATGTGTAAACATACTTATACTGGTGTTAAATATGATTATCAAATGGCATAACTTCACTCATTTACATCAGCAGTGAATTGAAATCAGTGGTTTACCAATATTTTTCTGTGTTTTTATTATAGGGCTGAGTGACCCAAGAGTTGCTTTCACCTGAGGGAGGACCACCACCCCCTCGTTCCCATTATCCCTTGAGCCCCCAGTCTGTAGCTGCCATGGCACCACGCAAACGTGGAGGTGGAGGTCATGGCGCGTCCTTTTTCTTCTGCTGCTTCCAGAGCAGCGATCACCCGGAGATCACCTACCGTCTTCGGGAGGACTTCGCCCTGCAGACTATGGAGCCCGCGCTGCCCATTCCCAGCTACGATGAGCTGGATGCCATGTTCTCTGAGCTGGTGGTAAGTACAGCTTTTACCATGCATGTGCAACTTTATATGTGTTCAGTTCTTATAGTAAAGTCCCTTAAATCATACAGTATAGGACTGGGAGTCAAAAAAAAATATTCAGTGATTCAGAAGCTTTGACAACTAAGAGTTTAAACTTGGGAAATACATTGTTTTACATTATGATCAATGCAGCCATCAATTTCAATATTATTAGGGGCCAAGCATCAAAGGTGCGTAGACACCTATTGTATCTGTTCATGTTCTTTTTCTTCTTCTTCTTCTTTCTTCTACTTCTTCTACTTATTATTATTATTCTTTCTTCTTATTCTTCTGCTCTGGGAGTCTATGGCAGCCCTATGAACCGATTCCGGCATTTGTACAAATTTTGGCACACTGATAGAGGACAGGCGAGGCAGTGGCACAATAGGTAGTGCTGTCGCCTCACAGCAGGAAGGTTGCTGGTTCGAACCTCAGCTCAGTTGGCATTTCTGTGTGGAGTTTGCATGTTCTCCCTGCCTTCGCTTGGGTTTCCTCCGGGTGCTCCGGTTTCCCCCACAGTCCAAAGATGTGCGGTACAGGTGAATTGGGTAGGCTAAATTGTCCGTAGTGTATGAGTGTGTGTGAATGTGTGTGTGGATGTTTCCCAGAGATGGGTTGCGGCTGGAAGGGCATCCGCTGCGTAAAAACTTGCTGGATAAGTTAATTCCGCTGTGGCGACCCCATATTAATAAAGGGACTAAGCCGACAAGAAAATGAATAAATGATAAAGGACAGTCTGTTCTTCAAACACAACAATTTTGGACTCTCTAACTCAAACTCTCAAGCCCCACCACTGGTCGAAAATTTACTTATGTTTACCTTTTTAACTTTTGAACCGAACGAGCTACGATCAAAATTTCTTTGTAATTTTTTTCCTATGATTCCTTGGCTCAAGCCGATTACACATCCTATGATGTCATTTTTCATCTTTTTTTTTCGCTATTTCAAATATTTTGTAAAACCTATTTGAGTTATCTCGTCCTAGGCCATTTGTCCAATTTTTACCGATTTTTCACATGATCTACAAACCACGATGACCAAAAGTTATGGAATTCAAGTTGATTAGACAAAACAGTTTCCATTAACAATTTTAACGTAGAGCTTGCGAAATTTGACTAAAGGTGTTGTCTCTGTAACGCATTGATGTATTCACACCAAACGTGTTATCACAAACATGGTCTGAAGCAACGCTTCGGCACACTGCCCCCTTGTGGTTTGGAGGTACAAAAATGACTCTTTTTGCTTATAACTTCTCAACCCTTTGTCCAAAGTTCATATTGGTGGTCGCTGGGCTGCTTGGCCTCCATAATTACTACTTGCAGCTATATTTAAATAAACAATATTTTTGTTATTAAGCTATAGCAGTTTGTAATATACTAATTTGTGCTTTACAAAATACTGTTGTTACCCACATACAGTAGTAATTTAAAGTAAATAGTTTAATGTTTCTGAGTCATACTGTTGTAAAATATTTGAATTATCTGTTTTGGTATTTTTTGCTGTGGTAATACAACAATAGTAATATAAAAAAAAAAACTAATACTGTACTAAGTTTTCTACAACCGTGTATATTATGCTATAATACGGCACAGGTGCTGTAGTAAAAACCTAAAGTAAACTACATTTTTTTTATTTTAGTATCACAGACAATAGAGTATATCTGTTCAATGTAGTTAATGCAGTAGCATTCATAAGCAAAGCGTTGTAAATAACAATTTAACATACAGTTTAATACACTTTATTATACACTACCTGACAAAAGTCTTGTCGTCGATCCCACTTGTAAGAGCAACAAATAATAACTTGACTTCTAGTTGATCATCTGGAAAAGTGTCAGAAGGTAGATTTTTTTGTCTGCATCCCAATCATGACAAATACTGCAGAAGACCTACTGGTATCTGCATGGACCCAAGACTCTCATAGAAATCAATCAAGTTTGGTAAAGGACAAATCTTGGTTTGGCGTTACATTTAGTATGGGGGCGTCCGAGAGATCTGCAGAGTGGATAACAACATCAACAGCCTGAGGTATCAAGACATTTGTGCTGCCCATTACATTACAAACCACAGGAGAGGGCAAATTCTTCAGCAGGATAGCGCTCCTTGTCATACTTCAGCATCCATATTAAAGTTCCTGAAAGCAAAGAAGGTCAGGGTGCTCCAGGATTGGCGACAAGAAAATTATTGAGCATGTCTGGAGTAAGATGAAGGAGGAGGCATTAAAGATGAATCCAAAGAATCTTAATGAACTCTGGGAGTCCTGCAAGAACGCTTTCTTTGCCATTCCAGATAAGTTATTTGAGTCATTGCAGAGTTGTATGGATGCAGTCCTCCTGGCTCATGGGAGTCATATACAATATTAATTCTTTCTCCATTGCTCCATGACTTTATATTCTATAATGTACTTTATTTCTGTTAAGTGACAAGACTTTTGTCTAAGCAAAGTCAGACCTTACTGTTCTGATTAAATAATTAAAAATCAAGGCATGATCATATTTTATTTAGGTAAAATAAGTGTAATCTAGAGGCCTTTGCCTTTCATATAAGCCACTTCTGATGCCAAATAATCAAGAATTTTGCCATTTACTTAATTAGAAAGACTTTTTTTAAGAGATTATTGCATGTTTGGTAAATGTTTGTCATGTTCTAGTGAAAAAGAATGCTCCAATGATTAAATCATAACTGTGTTGTTTGTTTAGCATTTATTTAGAAACTATAAAAAACAAAAATGAATAAATTATATAAATCATGTTGAACTTCATTACGATCGTTTTCAGTATCAACTGACATTTAAGGCCATATTGCCCAGCCCTAAATGGAAGTAGAGCTAATTACTGAATTAACCAAACCATTATTTTCCATATGCCCCTTTCCTCCTTATTTGTGCTCTAATTCAGTGTAATTAAAGAGCTGTAATTGATCCGTCAAGTGTGTTGTCTTTAATCCTTGCTTGAATAGCAATGGCAGCACTGCTCTCTCTCGTCTCCTCCTCCATCTCTGCCAGCTTCCACTTTGCACATCAATGGGTCCCATTGAGCAGCCTTGTGTCTTGGACTGCAGTGCAGTGTAATTGCTTGTTTTAGGTCTGACCCACTCTTAACCTCTCTCTCCCTGTACTTGGGTTCGAATAGATGTACAACACAAAGCAGCAGCAGTTGCTCTCTTTTCACAGAGCGATTTCATGCTCTCAGCACGCGCCGTTCTGGCAAGTTATTGTTGAATTTGTAAACCGGTGTTGCGTAACTGGCAACCTGCCTGCTTATTCGCATGGATTACATGAAAAGTAATAGCGCGCTTTAGTAGAAGATACCTGGGTAATTATTTGAAATGCCTTTGCTGACATTTATTCTGTTTATTTGGAGGTTATTATGGAGATTTTGGTAAGAGCTTGGCAACATCTTCTTAGAGGTTCATCATATTCAGCACACTAGGGACATTAGAATTACAAAAATATCATTAGAACAAAGGGGCTTTTCAGGATGAAATGAAAATAATGAAGTACACGAGGGGAGTTTCCATGTGATTTAGCCATGATTTGTGTCTTTTTAATGGGATTAGATAGATATTTTGTGTTACAATGGGGCCCAGATGTGACATTTGAGTCTCTGTTGGAATTATTGCATTATTATCCATTTATGGCAAAGAATTAAATAGATAGTTCTCCCAGAAATTAAAATTCTGTAATTGTTTAATCATTTACCTCATGTTTTTCCAAGCCTGCATGACTTCAATTTGTCTTCTGAGCACAAAAGTGCTCTTTTATTTACAGACTGTACAGTAATATATCCTAAAATGATTAATGTTGGTCTGAATCTTTTATGGCCAGTTGTTTGGTGTATCCCTAGACAGCAAATTTATTGCAACACAGGCTCGTTGTGGATATGTACACACGGCTACATTTCTAATGGGCGTGAATTATGTATGTACATCTGGCTCGGCCTGCACGATTCTGGCTAAAATGCTTAAAACCAAGATCACGATTTTTTAGATTCTATAGATGTATAATTGTAACGACTGGGTGGAGTGACAGATACAACTGGAGGTAAGATCCAATATGCAGGTTTATTCAGCGTCAGGCAAACAGTGGTCATACAGGTGCAAACGGGTTAAGGCAGTCCAGAATCGTAGTCGGTGTAAACAGGCAACAGGTCAAAAGGCAGGCGGCTAAACTAGAGAACAAGGGTAAACCAGGCTAGGGTCTAAACACGGAGAAAACAAGACAAGGAGAAATGCGTTGTAATGTCACACTGGGAAAACAAGACTCGGCAAACTGGAAGGGTGAAAGAGTGGCTTATAAGTGGTGTGATATCAGACTATGACAAGGTTCAGCTGGTGTGTGCAATCAAGCTAGATGAATAAGCATGGGTGTCTGGGAGCAGTGCATGTATGAAAATGTAGTCCTGGGAAATGCGGAAATGTAGTTCTGAGAGTTCGTGTGAGAACCAGCGATCTCTTGGGAGTGATAGCTGGTTGTGTGACAATAATAAAGGTTAATATGAGTAGGCTATTATTATTGTAATTTTTTAAACATATGGTAAAATATCAATAATAATATTAGGCCTATGTGTAGGTCTACTGTTGGTTAAAATGCTAAAATTTGTATAGACTTGGAATAGTGGACATAAACAGACTTAAATTTGTCCTGGTTTTTAATGCACAGTAAAATAATAACATCAGAATACAACTATTCATTAATCTAAATTTGAATTACTGTGTTTGAGACATCTGCTTGCAATCTGTCATTGACGACATTATTAGATTAACATTATTATTCACTGGTAAAATGAGACATTTGTCATTATCAGATTCAACAGTTATACTGACTTCAGATAGTTATACTGACCCAGTAAACATTTCTTTTTACTCAGTATTCGCTATGAAAGAAAAAAAACATAAAATGCTTGTAGTAATCATAACTCTACAATGCGATATGATCATTTAAATAATGTGCGCAGTTTCGGTTTCACTTTCACT